CCCTCTGTGCGTTCCCTCAGATTTGAAAATAGGCTATGAAAAGTCAATATTGACCAGAACTGAAACCCTCTCTCTCACTACTTGTTTCAAAGAACCCTTGTTATTTATAACTTTATTTCTGAAGAGAACGTGTTTTTATTTGCTATTTATTTGCTATTTATTGCTATTAGAACATGAAACTAGGGCCCGATGCGATTTTTGTATCGTGACTCCCAAAAGCTGTGTTCGCGACAACATAAATTGAGAAATCAAAAGCAATTACGCTCGAGAAATTCGAGAAATAAACCCGTCTTTGAATTATGAAAATCTATATTTCTTTGTTGTGAAAAGGAATCATTTTAAACTGGCTTATATAGTAGTATATTTCCACTTAATCTGTTTGTCCAAAGAGCTTGTGACCAGGCATTAGAGTTTTAAGACATAAATTACGTCCAAACGGAAACAGTTAATGGCACAAAGTAACAAAATAACGGATATAAGGTGGCACTTTGCCAGATTCATGCTTCGTTTATGTAAATATATTTTTTTAAATTAAGTTTCTAGATTTCCACTTTGATACAGCTCATACCGAGAACGAATTTTCGATTGAATCAATGTTTTAACCGGCGTTTTAACCGGCGTTTTCTCTTTTCTCCCGCTTCACCATGGAGACAGAGAAAGACAACAAACTCGCCTTCCTAGACATCGCAGTTTTAAGAGAACCTGACGGCCGCCTCACCATCAGCGTATACAGGAAGCCCACGCACACCGATCAATACTTAGCGTATGATTCACACCACCCTCAATCAGTAAAACGCTTTATTGTTAAGTGCCTTTCCGAGCGCGCCAAACGCCTCGTAACCAAACCCTCCGTTATCTCCGAGGAGAAAAAACATCTGTCATCTGTTCTGGTTTCTAATGGTTATCCTTTTTCTTTCTTGCAGAAACTCACCAAGACCGGAAAACCAAACAACAGTGCCGAACCCGCCAACGAGTTCAAAGCTACTGCGGTTTTACCTTATGTTAAAGGTCTATCCGAACAGCTTCGCCATTGCCTACAACAACAAGGCGTACGCGCTGTTTTCAAGTCGGAGACTACGCTAAGATCTCAGTTAGTACGACCAAAAGACGCTGTCGACCCGGCTAAACAAGATGGTGTAGTTTACAGGATTCCCTGTAAACTACAAGGTGTACATAGGAGAGACTGGAAGACCTGTGCCAGACAGAATTAAGGAACACGATCGAGACATTCGACTCGCCCGTACCGAGACCTCCGCCGTTTCAGAACATGCCCACAACACCGGACACAAGCCACTCTGGAACGAAGTAAAGTTTATTGATCGTGACCCTTATTACTACACCCGCAGGGTCAAAGAGGCTATTCATATAAGACTTCACCCTAACAACATCAACAGGGATAGTGGGATAGAGATTCCAGAAGCGTGGATGCCCACGATCAAGAAACGCAATAACAGGAGAGCCGTGCGACAGAGGACCGCCGAGGGAGCAAATCACTGAGTGAACAGCAAGGATCGAAATGCACAAATCAGAGCTGTTGAAAAACAACCAATCACAGCGGAGCATCATGCTTTATAAGATCACGCATGACCAGTCGACCTCATCGCCTGAAGAAGACTAGCAGTATTCAGTCGAAACGTCGTGATCTACATCACACGTGACTACACTGTGAGAAAAACGAAAAACTTGGCTTTTTATTGGTATCATTCAGTTGTCAATCATCAACTACAATCATCCAGGTGAGAGTAGTCCTGAAAAAGTTTGTTGTCGAAACTAGAGACTGGCCTGAGCAGAAGTCATCAGAGTCGACTGAACAATTTTTTGTAACTCGAACGTTGCAAATTTGGTTTGTAAAAGTGATTGGTCAGTTTTGCATTGAAGTGGCTGTCAGACTCAAATTGGGATTTTCGTCCGTTGATTCGTCAGTTTTGATCAGTCGGTAAGGTTAGTTCATTCTATTTGGTCCCTTGGTAACCGCGCCTGGTTTTTCTTTTTTTTTTTTTTTTTCGTAAGTCGTTTGTAACTTGTCAAGTTTGGTTCCCTCTGTTGTAAGAAGTCTTCACTTAGATAGCAAACCAGTTTTCTAAAATTCAGTCTTTGATGATGGTGTAAGTCGATGGTGTTCAGCAACTTGATTTTTGACGTAAATAAGATACGAAAACTCATCAAAAGATTTCAATTTCGAATTCCATTTGGTCTTTGTACGGCCGAAGTTTTTTTTGGAGTGCCACTTTATATCACCTTTGTGCGATATCAACTAGGATATAAATGTGATACTAACTGTTAAACAAACCCCCAAAAATGAGCGATCAGAGCTTCCGAATTTAATAATTTAAGTAACAGCATTCCGTAGCCAGGATTCTATCAGTTTCCAATTGTTTCTGTCTTTAATTCGATGCAACCAGACTATCTGAGATAAATTACACCAAATTATGACTGGTAGCTCAAATACTTGAAATCAAATGATCGTCCAGGGTCTGTATAACAATCCGTAACATAACAAACTATTCCAAACATGGTGGCTAATTAAGAACTATCCACTTACCATGTAATCAGTTTTATCCTTTCCAAGACAATTGGTAAAAAAACGAACACCTCGTATAGTAATTAGACTTCAAAAGGGCCACCATTTTTGCCAGTATTACTAAATAATCCGGAAGTTCTTATCTTTGCAGTATCCACTAAAAAGTTAGTGATTCCAATGTCTTCTCTTGACCAAAATCTTTGTTTCTCCATCCTTCCGACATGAAAGGGTCTGGGTACGAGACTAGTTTGACACTTCTAAGGGGTTAGTCATTATTTATCGCCGTGGGGGGTGGAGGATTTTAAGAATTACATGGTTTTTAGGGAGAACGTTTGGGAATTATCCGTCGCTAACAGAGTTTAATTAAAGGCGGGACCATAGTAAATTGATTGCCAATTAACTGCCAACGAGGCGTGGTGGGGGGGGGGGGGGGGGGAAGGAGGGTGAGATCCTCACAGGTAAGCCGATTTAAAATCAATTGTTGCCGATAGTTAAATGAAAACTTCTCTGTTTCTTCTTTTTCGCTTGTTTCTCTGTTGACAGTCACGGTATCTGCTGAGACTTCAGTCAGTGCCTCCCAAATACCAATTAGGCATTATTATCAGCTGAACCACGAGTGAGTTCGAGGTTAGGGGCTTTCATGCTATTTTTCCTATTAATATAATCCGTGTATAGAATATATGCAATTGATTTCAACGCTTTTAGTTTTGTAACAGCGGGAGTGGTTGACGTCAAAGTAGTGAAAATGTTCGCCGCGAGGTATTTAGAAGATGGATCTGGTAAAGGAAACACATAGGAGAGTGCATGAAGACAGCAGAGGGGAGCTGATGACCGCTTGGAGAAGGTCAGCGTACAGGGGAAGAAATCAAGTCAGGTGAAGGAAGAAGGGTGCGGCGAGGGTGGCGACACAAAATATAGTGATGATGACCTTATACGCCCACTGGTGCGGTGAGATCAAATCGCAATAATGGTGATGATGACAACAGAAATCTTGGTTTATCTTTGGATTGTTGTTAAATTCAGTCAACTTAACAACTCAGGGGGATGTAACTTCAAGAGTTGAAGCCTTAAAATAATTAACGTAAGCCACAATGACTGGTATTTGTGCGCGCTTCGCTATCCCAAATAGCCTTTTTCACTACTGGTTCGCCGACTTCTAACCCTCAACAGCACTTTGTATATTCTTCATGCTGTTCTCTACATATTTCCTAAGGTGCTGACGAGGAGAATTTGTTTAACAATAAAGAGGTTTTTCAGTTGATGATATTGCAGGGAGAAATTAGATACTAGTCATTCTTAGGGGTTTTAAGGGTTAACAAATAGAAGGAAAGTACTCTCTTGATTTTCATCGGGTAGCCAAGGAAACAGATCTAACCTGAATCCTTAAAAAATCCTCTCAAGCTTATAATTTTCACACCAGGATTTCAAGCTAAAAGTTGAACTATTTTGAATCCTGCCTCTCTCTCTCTCTCTCTCTCTCTCGGTCGCTTGCCCGAGCTACTGATCTGCGAGGGAAGGCCTCTTCGATAAAATGGACCACAGTGGTTAAGTTCATTCTCTCTCATGTTGGCAGCTTTTACAGAGAACAAGGTTTTCTTGACAAGTGCATGACAAAGTTGCTAGCGTCAATTCATGGGACTCAATTCATTGATTTCAGGACTGATCTAAACAACAAACAAATTCGCACGTCATAGAAAATTACCTTTGTTTATTAAATTCCTACAAAATGTTTAAAGCTTTACTTAACATTCACAAAAACATAGAATCCACTGTATCGAGAGAGTCTGGAAGCTGTACTCTCTGTAACAAATGGTTTCACATTAAAATAGTTCATGGCAAACGTGCAAATTGACAATATTAATCTCTACTTAAATAGTTTCTTGAAGATTCACATACAAACTCTACACTTTTTCAAGAAATATTATTGTCCCAAAAAGGTTTAACTTAGTTTGCTCTCACATTCTTAAAGAGCTATATTACGGGCGAAACGACCAGAGCGTTGTAATGCACTCAGTGAAAAGCTTAAATTGCCTGCGAGAAAATGGAAGTGTATTATAAAAAGCGCCCAATACAAAAATGACGGTTTTTCTTATCTTAGTAAAATTACGAAAAATTAAGTTTACGAAATAGAACGACTGCGTGTTTGTGGTCGTTGTTAGCTTTTCATATAAACGAAGTTAAATGAAACAATATCATACCACATAATTAAATTTGACTCTCTTAAAGAGCATTAAATTAAATACTTTCCTAGCTTGATGAAGACAAAAAAAATTAATTTAAGACTACCTATTAATTCGCTCTGCCTATTCAAATTCGCTTCGTTTCAATCCAAAAACAAAAATGATTTGAAAAACAGTTTTTTCCTTTACTTCTTCGGACCTTTCTTTTCTTCTCCGTTCTTTAACTTTGTTGTTCCAGGGCTTCTCGTTGTACTTTTAGTCATCCCAGAACTTTTCGTCGTTCCTTCTTTGGCTTTGTGAAGACTCTCCCTGCTACCTCGCACATTTTCCCGACTTCCGGTTCTTGCCATTCCAGTCGACTTAGTAGCTGATTTAGACGCGGCCGAACCTGGACGATCCGGAGACCCGCGAGACGAGGTGCTGCTTGGGCTTGAGGGGATTCCCGAAGATACCCGAGGTGAAGTGCCCTCCGAAGAGTCCTCGAGCGATCCCGTACTACCAAGTGACGTCTGACTGTCAGATTTCCTAACCCTTGATACGCCACTAGGTCTCTTCGTGGAGGGGGACTTTTCAGCCGTCCCCTTTAAATTTGTTCCGCTTCTCTGTTTGGTGGGACCACTTGGTGGCCGAAGTTCTCCCGACTTTTCACGACGAGGCCGAAGTTCACCGGATTTCTCTCGACGGAGGCCGTAACCACTACTCGGAACGTCGTCGTGACCACTGTCGACTTCTGTTCCGAGTGTCGTTTGCTTGTGAAGGCTCCCATGGTCTGTGTGACGCCTTCAGGTCTTGACAACTGTTCTCTAAGTTCTATATTTGTTCGTCCAGTAGCTAAAGGAAAAATATGACACAATGAGATCAACATGCAACATCTCCTTAATTGTTCAAAAACAGATTGTCCTGCCAGTATCATTGAAAATGTAGAGAAGAGTATGAAGAATACGGAAACTGATGTTAGGGTGTAAAGGGGTTAAAAAGTCTGTGGTCGGCAACAACTTGTTTAGTTGTGGTAGGTTATAGTTTCTTTGCCTCTAAGTGCTTTTATTTACCTTTGCTGGGTTCGTTCTTTAGAAGGAATTCTTCCAGTGTTTCCCAGCCTCCTCCGACTCGTACCATGACAGTGCTGCGAAGGATACGAACCAAACGCATCTTCTGGGAGTCACCGAACTGTAAGAGATGACAAAACAGACGGTTAAATATAAAGTAAGCAGTGGTGATTGGTGATCAGTTTTCGGTGTGCGGCAAGATCTTTGAGCAAGCATACAGAAAACTACTCTTACCGCGGTCACAGGATAAGTATAAACACAACCCTGAGGAAAATTCTCCTTAACGAGTTGCTATGTTGCATCGCTTGACAAAGTTATAATTTAAGAATTTTACATACTTACTTCGTAATATCTTGAAAATCTACAAAATTACATCGTACACCACTTCGCTATTGAACTTTCTGATGCGAAACGAGCAAACAACCAATCAGATTGCGCATAATAGTATCAAGCAAACTGTCCAATGCTGAGAGAGTAGTTTGGTGTGATGTGACGAAATAACCAAGGAAATAAATCGGCAAAGTGGTGAATGAATTGTGAGCTTGGAAAGCTAAATATTAATTATTTAAGGGGGCTCTTACCCTGTACTTGTTCTCGGCCACTTTGACAAATGTCACGCCGCACTTGCGACACAGGCGTTCAATTTCAGACTGAATCTGTTGTTCTTCAGTCTTTGGCTTCTCTGGCTTCTTCGTCTGATGAAAGGAATAAGTGTCAGACCAATAATTATAATTACACACTCTTGGTGAATACTGGCCCCTTACTGCAACAACGTTTCCTAGTTTCAGTGGCACGAAGCGGAGAGCTAGTTTAATTTAAGGGAACCACCTAAAATCCGCTAATTTTCACTGACAGTTTTCTGGTACCCTTCTATATTCCCCTGTGGAGGAAGAAAGTCTAGAAGTTAAGTGTCTTCTTTCGGAACACAACACAATAAACCAGCCTTGATCCATGCGGCGGAAGATGTCAAGAACGCGTGACTTGCTGTCACGCAGCCATTTGTTAAACTGTGAACAAAAAATTAATTCATCAGATCAATAAAACGACAAGAAGTAACTGGAATGTTACTTGCGCATATCTTGAAAAAGAAGATCTGTCTTTACAGTAAATTGTTCATAATCTGTTTGATAAACTTACCCTACTCTTCCACTCGTTGAAGTCAAACTTCGCCGAGGCTCGTCTCTGCAAAAGGAAAAAAATTGAATATTTGTTATAAAAAAAGAAGAAATAATAAATTTAATATTGAAAATTGTGTAACCACTTATTCAGACAGATTGAGAAAATGTCACAACAGCTAGATAAAAAGAAAAAAAAAGCGGGGAAAAAGCAGCGATTCATTGTGAACTTTAAGGAAAGGCATCGCTAAATAAGCTTTTTTTCGCGAGGAAACAAACTAAATCAAAACAGCGTGAATCACGCCTTTTTATTTTCCTGAGTGATGCGCGACTGAATCACATTAACGTTACTTACGATGGCAATTCGTTCCAACTTCTCTTGAAGACGTCGCAGCCTCTCCATCGAAAGAAGCCACAAATGCTGCCATCGTTTGGACAAGTGCAGCAAAGCTGGATGATTCTTATCAAGTGTAGTGGAACCAGACCGAGTGAACGAAGAACCCGGGCTGGTGACCAGCGTCAACTTCTCGCGTGACCGTTCGCGAGTGAAGGACGGAGAAGGACTGGAGGTGAGTTTAGGTATTCTGCTTCCACGCCGACCTTGCTTGTCCGGAGTGGCCTGAGCTTGGACTGGGGCAGCAGAAACAGCGGTAGGCGCTACAGAACCACGTCGTTTTACCGACTTGGTGAGTCTGTCGTATGTTGGCTGTTTCTTGGCCATTTCTTCTTGAAAACCTTTGTGGTCTTCCAACAGCGTCATGACTTGCTCGTAATCATCGTCAGGGATAGGCTCATTTTCCTTTTCGATCAGGATTTCTTCTTTCTCTCCAATCCACTGCAGCAGTTCCTCCATCATGCTTTGCTCCTCTGTCAGCTTAGATTGTTCTTCCTCCAGGCGAGTCAATCTTTGAACTGACCATTTGCGAACCTGGAAAAGAGCCAGCCAACTGTTTGTTATTCATCCAATTACAGTCAAATTACACCAGCAGGTTTTCTTTAACAAATATTCTTTAGAAAAAATTTCCCTTAGCAGTGAAGATTAAACAATATGACGAAATTTCCCTTGGCAAGTCACCTTGTTGAGAACCTGACTCGCCAGTTTTTGGAAAAGGAGGATTGTGAAGGAAAAACTTTTCAAGGAAAAAATTTTCTGGTGTAGATGACTTAACTTGAAAAGGACACTTGTCACGAAGATTTCAGGAAAATTCTGCTCCACCTTAATTCTTTGCCACTTTAGACAAGGAAAAAGTTTTAAAGGAGGAAGCTCTAATGTGTCCACACTCACAGACAATATTACCGACGAACGTTTCATAGCGAATAGCTTTGTTTTACAGCTCGTATTTAAATGTACAGATTCACTAAGTCACCTCATCCCATCGTTTCTTTAATCTTGCAATCCATTGCTGGATGATTGGCAGTGCGCTTGGATGACAGAATCGTGCAATCACTTGGCCCTTCTTAATGGCTGATTGAACGTTCACTTCCTCTGCCATTAGATCTTCGTGGAAAACCTACCATGGACACGAATCCAATGAATTGTTAATGTGGCAAGCTTAACGGACCTACACTGAATCTTTGTACAAATAAAGGCAAACTTCGCGATCGCACAAGAGCTAAGGCAAATGTTAGAAAACCTTTGAAATTCGGAGAATGTGGCCATGTGATCGTTATGACTCGTTCAAAGAAGGACCACTTCTCATAAATTGAAAGTTAGCCAGCGGTGTCGTATTACTTCGCACGTACCTTGTGTTCACTCAGTTGATCAGCAATAGTCTCTAAGTCGTCGGCAATTGGACCCAGTCCCCTAAGCGTATCTTCGAAGTCTTTCAGTATGCGTAATTCTGTCTTGACGGCAGTGTCGAACTCCTTCGCCAAAACGAGCGCATTGTCGAGTCTACCAAATGAATTAAATAAAGAAATTAGGTATCTGTGAGTGGGTAGTGTGAACAGTATACAATTTTGCCAGAAAGATAAAATGTCAAAATATGCTTCTTTTTTAGTCGACTTAAAAAGCGTTACCTATCTTGTTTAGTGTTAGATAAGGCGCTGATGGCTTCCCAACGCATGCGCAAGTCATCGAGCCTCTCTTCCAGTTTGTGCGGGTCCTCCACTTTGTTCTCATTGATCATTGTTCTACCTGTATTCATTACCGAGTCGTAATTTGCTTGGCGGCGTCCGAGCTCGCGTTGGAAGGTCTGCAAGATTGGAACAAGTACACTGTTAGAATGTGAATATAAGAGATCCTCGCAGCTAAGAAAACTACTGAACTGGTAGTTGAAATGAGACCTGAAAAAAATTTTTCAGGCTCGTACGAGATTTGAACCCATGAACTCTGCGATACCGGTGCAGCTTTTTTGTCTCGGTCAGTAGCATGCGTTCTTTGTGTACAAATCTGTCATGTTAAAATCCGCGAGTGAATGTCCTATGCTTAGTAAATTTTCTTAAACGATTCTGATTCGGTTCAAGTATGCTCGAAATCCATGTTGCATCCCTAACCTTGTGATTGTCAATTAAGATCTGTACAGTTTCAGGGTCACCCATGACGGCAGTTTCAGTGGAAAGACTAGGCTCCACTGCACTGAGCCAGTCAAGCAGCGACTGCAAGGCATCCTGGAACATACCAGTGAAGAGGAGAGCCTCCTCTAGTTTTTGTTGTCTGAAAAGGAAGTGAAGCAAACATAGGTCATCATATAAAAAGAAACTGTTGAGCTAGTTGTTTTATTATTAAGCGTTAGACCTCCACGATACTAAGTGTTATATGTAACTAACCTTTCCACTGATAGCGCGCAGATGGCGTCCCATCGTGCCTTGAGGTCAGCTATCTTTCCTTCGATAATAATGGCGTCATCTCCAGGACTCTTCTCCATCAACACTTTACCCGTCTTAATGATTCCATCCATTGATGTTTGGTTGGCACCGAGCATGGATTGGAACTCCTGAGAGATAGATTATCACATTGTCAAAAAGCTGCTTCATTCTCTGTCATCTGCGATCCGTGCCGGATGTCGCTTTATCGATTTATATTCTTGTTCCCTTTCAGCTTTTTTTTACCACCTTCACCCTTAAATCCCTAGAAGTGATAAGCGTCCAACTTCTGCCGACACTTCTCACCCCTGAATCACACCTTAAGCTCATGTGAATAAAGGAGATGATCGTGAACTAAAGAAAGTCTTGATTGTTGTACACATTCTCCTTGTAAGGTCCACAGGAAATGATTAGAGAACAGTATGGAAAATATGCATACTGATGTCAGGATGTACAAGGTTAACAAATAACTATTTCGACGTTTTATTCTGTTGAACGAAACTCGCTACGACGCGAAAAATGACCCAAAATAGGGTAATGCTGCTCTTTTTTAGCACAAAGGAGACAAAAAAGTGAAAAAAAGACATTCACAAACCTTGTGTTTTTTTAGTTGGGACCTCAGGTGAGCGGGATCCACCCCAATAGGTTCCTCATCTTTAAGGCTCCGCTCAGCTGCGTCCAGCATGTTCAATAATTCTTCAGCACCTTTGAAGAACTTGTGCGACAGCTTGTAATTTTCATCGAGATCTTTCTTTCTACCCGAAGACAGACCTGTCAGCTCTTTCCAGCGAGCGTCCAGGTCACGGATCGTATCATCGATGTAAGTCACGTCCTCCTGGAGACACACATCTGTGATCTTGAATGCCAGTACCTTGAGTTGTTTGAACGGGTCACGGTGTGCGTCAATGTCCTCTTTGAGATCCTATAAGGGAAGAAGGACCATTTAACTCTTTGACCCTCGACCTAAATTCTCAAACTCAATACTTAGTTTTTCCATCAGAAAGAGGTAACTTTAGGAGGACAATTGTTGGGAATTTTTTCCAAACATTATTCTTGAATTTAGTAAAACTTTTGAACGACCTTCGTAGGAAAAAAAGAGCAAATAAAAAGGAAGAAATCTTTTTCGAAGACCGTTTCTATCAACTGCAGTAAACTACTAAAAACCTTTCAAGGCAAAGAAATAAACAGAAGCTTAAAAAAAGGAAGAGTTTCATTTGAAGGCTGCGGCTCCATTAGGATGTCATAATACTTCAGCTAGCGCGTTTAATAATTAATAATTAATTAACCCTTTAGCTCCCACAAGTGACAAACATGTAACCTCTCTATAATATCCATACATTATCCAGCAAAAAGGTAATATACTAAAACTAATCAGGTAGAAGTCATACAAAATTCTTGTAATTAATTTACAAGGAAATGTGTAACAGCTAGAGGGGAGAATTTACCATCTGATCTTGGGAGTTAGAGGCTTACAAATATCACTCAAGTAATGTGTCACCATTCCATTTCCCTTTCATACCTTGTATTCCTGTCGTTGCTTTTCCAAAATGTCTAAAATGCAGCTGACATTATCAAAGGACACTATTTGATCATGAACCTGCGTGAGCCAAGAGTCCATATCTGTGATTTGTTTCTCTAATTCCACTGCATTCTTGAGCGCGTCATCCAACTTACGGCCTTCCTCGTCAGCCTTTGTGCTCACACTTGTTCCCAGGCTTCTGTCAATTCATCCGACTGCCTTTGAAGGAGGCTGCTGTGGTAGGATCGCTGTTCTTTATCATGGCTTGGACGGCTTCAGTGATTCGTTGGTATGTTTCCTTACGTTTTTCAAGTACGTCTAGGAAGTCCTGTAGAAGTAAAGGGATCATTGACATCGTCAATAAAAAATATTGCCTGCGTGGTTCGAGTGCAAATCGTTCCCGGTTTGTTTATCTATTGCAGTACA